TAAATATTAATGATATTTTTTATGTAATTTAATTAAATATTGAGTGTTATATAAGTAACTATTAAGATTTTTTTAAAAAAAAAAGTAAATATGAAGAGTAGAAAATTAGATATATAAATATATATAAATTGTATGACATTTATATAAATTCTCCCTCTTTTTTAATTTTAAAAATTTATATTTTATAAATTTATTCTTTTTAACAGACCTCGCTTTACATTTCCATAAGCAAAATAAGTGTTTTCTTACTTGGGGCAAGCACACCCTAAACAAAAAAAAAAAAGCTGAAATTTTAAATAAATTAATAAAAATCCTCTCAATTTAAGAGTGTAGGAAATTTGGAGGTCGAAGAAATTTTAAAATATCATGGGGTTTAGCTCAGTTAAAGTAATCCACTATGTAGCCCTGTAAAAAAAAAATATCACGGGGTCTAGCTCAATAAAAGTGATCCACTATGTAATTGTAAGTATGCAGGTCCACTCTTCTCCTGAATTATATAAGATGGAATTATAAAACTGATAATTATAGATGTATGGTAGTAGGTCAGTCATAATAGTTGTAATTGGACTACAACAAATGTAGTTCTTAGCTATAATAATAATAGTTTGTCATGGTGACTTCAGTTGGAAGTTGTAACAGCAATAGTTCGTCACAAAGGCCATACTTGGTTGTTGCACATGGATTGGTTCGCAACAAATATCGTTGTTGAAATTTGCAAAATCTTAAGTTGGTCATAGAAGCTACAATTGGTGATTGCAAAAATATCATTTGGTTGTAGAAGCTGTGAATGAAAGCTGCAACAGTAGTAGTTGGCTACATAAATCATAGTTAGTGACTGTAATATCGTGTGTTGGTCATACAGACCATAGTTGGTGACTGTAAAGTGTTAGTTGGTCATAGAGGATGTAGTTGGCATTGCATTGGCATTAGTTAGCCACTGAGACCGTATTTGGAGATTGTAATAATAGTTGGTCATATAGGTCATAGTTAGGGGCTGCAATAGCATTATTTGGCCACGAAACCCGTAGTTGGAAGCTGTAGTAATAATTGCTCATATAGATCGCAGTTGGGGGCTACAATAGAGTCAGTTAGCCACCAAGCTTGTAGTTGGGAGTTGTAGTAATAGTTAGGGGAGCAAACGAGTCGAGCTTGAGCGAGTCAACTTGTTAGAAGTCGATAGTTTGTATATCATCGTGTAATTCTCCTTTTCTATTAAATCTCTTTTCCAGTACATGAGGTAGAGCAGCACAACACAATAGTTGGGTTCTACACCATTATAGTTGTGCTTCGAATCAATCGTGGTCAGACCAGCATCGCCTCTGGTATCCGCTGCATTAACATTCATTCCTGTGGCACGGGGCTGTAGCTGGCTGGTACAAATATTCCTGTGACATAGACCATTGATGAGGCTGCCCCATACGTGTTCATTCCTTAAACTTGAGGTCCAGACAAACGAATTTTACGATCGAAGCTGTCGTGCTCAGCGACACATGCACAGTTTATCTTCTTGAGCTTGTTTGAGACACGTTCGCAGCCCCTACAAAGGTCCCAAAATAGTAACTGCTAATATTTGATCCTTTACAGGTCCCATGAGGTCCAAAACCCCATTAGCAAGCTTTTTAGGAGGCCCAAGTTTTCTGGGATCCGGTGTGACCACGCTTGATTCAAGTGTGGCCATGCCTAACCTACGACGTGACCATGCCTAAATTGGGTATAGCCATGCCAAGACCTCCAAAAAGAGCCCAAATGAGCTACAGTCGGCACCAGTCCCTGAAGTAGTTGAGACCGTTTTGGAAAAAAAAAAAAAAAAACATACAGCGTAATTACGTCGCAATATGGGTGTGATTATAACCAAATCTGAAGAGGGGCCCAGGTCCTTTAGGCAGCATGACCACGTCTGATGGTGATGTAACCACGCCGCCAAATAGAGTGCCCGACATAATTACATCGGGCGTACCCACATCAGACCCAAATCCACGACACCTTGAATAGTGGTGCGTGACCATGCCATCGTGACCCGTTTCACGAATTCGGAGGTCCGGACCTTGGTTTCCCGCCAATATGGTGGCCAAGGCTATTGGTCCTCCTCCTTTTGCCTTGTTATCCACCCTAAAATGGCACAGAAAGCATTTTGGGACCATTCTAAATGGGGAAGGTGGTTTAAATCCTTTAGGTGGACCCTTTGAGAAAGTTGAACCAGGAGAGAAGGCTCATTTGTGCTGATCGGCAACCATTTGGTGAAGAGAAAAGCTAAGAGCAAGAGGAGGATTCAAGGAGCTTCCAAGGAGATTTTTGGTGAGGTTTCTTCTTCTTCCTTCAAGAGAAGTTCAGGGGAGCCATTTTCATCCCTTTTCTCCATATTTTCTTCCATTTCTCTGGTCATCTCTTTCGTTTCCGGTAGCACCCTGACGAGACAATGAGGAAAGCTTCCTCACTTCTTTGGGGAAGGGTAACTCCAGCTACTTCTCATTCTCTCCGATGAGGAGAGCTGCTTCATCACTTGGGAGAAGAAGTATGTTCTTCTTCTTCATCTCCAATGGCATTCCGACAAGGCGATGACAAAAGTTTCCTCACATCTTTGGGGAAAGTTTCCCCTTCTATGAATCTGAGTGTTCCCTTCTCTCGAGCCTTAGCACCAAAATCTTACGAAATATGAGGTTTGGTGAGACCACGCTATTTGCTCCGGTGGTTTCACTTGGATTGACAAGTGAAATCTAAGGATCAAGTGGACGATGATGCCCATTTAGATATGGATTACCGCTAGTTATTATTACAGTAACATAATGCAATTCACTGATAAAAAAGCTTGTGATTTCTGCAAGACCTTGGGAGTCAATCTCAAGTTCGCCTCTGTGCATCATCACTGAATTAACAGGCAGGCAGAAGCCGCCAACAAAGTCATCCTAAACCTCCTAAGGAAGAAAGTAGGAGTGAGGGCCAAATGAACAGATCAGATCCCCTTGATATGAGCAATTTGAACAACGTCATCTTCATCCACAAGTCAAACCTTGTTCATGCTTTCTTATGGGATGGAAATTTGTTGTTGGTGAATGCAACAGCTATAGTAAGAGGGTGCTCGCCACTTCGGTCTTCAACGAAGAGAACTTGGAGGAATGGAGTGAAACATACAACAAAGGAATAATGCTTGCTTAGAACCTAACAGAGGAGAACTGAACCAACTAGCTCTATGGCAAGAAAAAATCAAGTAGAGGACAGTCGGCTACTTCAATAAGAACATTCACAAAGTAACGTTCACTCTCGGAGACCTAGTATTGAAAAAAGCTGACCCCGCGAGAAGAGGGAAACAGTGAGAAAGTTGCATCAGAACTGGAATGGTTCCTACATCATCGACCATAAAGTTGGACCTAAAGAAAACCATAAAGCTGCCCCATACATGTTCATTCCTTAAACTTAAGCTCCAGACAAACAAATTTTTGATTGAAGCTGCGTGCTCAGCGACACGTGCACAGTTTATCTTCTTGAGCTCGTTTGAGACACGTTCGCAGCCCCTACGGAGGTCCCAAAATAGTAACTGCTAATATTTGATCCTCTACAGGTCCCACGAGGTCCAGCGAGCTTTTCAGGAGGCCTAAGTTTTCTGGGATCCGGTGTGACCGCGCTTGATTCAAGTGTGGCCATGCCTAACCTACGACGTGACCGTGCCTAAATTGGGTATAGCCATGCCAAGTCCTCCAAAAAGAGCCCAGATGAGCTACAGTCGGCATGACCATGCCTGAAGGTAGTCTGACTGCTTTGGCCAAAAAAAACATACTGTGTAATTACGTCGCAAGATGGGTGTGACTATAACCAAATCTAAAGGGGGGCCCAGATCTTTTGGGCAGCATGACCACGCCTGAGCGCGATGTAGCCACGCCGCCAAACAGAGTGCTCGACATAATTACATCGGGCGTAACCACGTCAGACCCAAATCCGCGACACCTTGAATAGTGGTGCCATGCCACCGTGACCCGTTTCACGAATTCGAACCTCACCCCTCCGGACCTTGTGCTCCCGCCAATATGGCGGCCAAGGCTATTGGTCCTCTCCTTTTGCCTTGTTATCCACCCTAAAATGGCACAGAAAGCATTTTGGGACCATTCTAAATGGGGAAGGTGGTTTAAATCCTTTAGGTGGACCCTTTGAGAAAGTTGAACCAGGAGAGAAGGCTCATTTGTGCTGATCGGCAACCATTTGGTGAAGAGAAAAGCTAAGAGCAAGAGGAGGATTCAAGGAGCTTCCAAGGAGATTTTTGGTGAGGTTTCTTCTTCTTCCTTCAAGAGAAGTTCAGGGGAGCCATTTTCATCCCTTTTCTCCATATTTTCTTCCTTTTCTCCGGTCATCTCTTTCGTTTCCGGTAGCACCTTGACGAGACAATGAGGAAAGCTTCCTCACTTCTTTGGGGAACTACTTCTCATTCTCTCCGATGAGGAGAGCTTCTTGATCACTTGGGAGAAGAAATCTGTTCTTCTTCTTCATCTCCAATGACATTCTGACAAGGCGACGACGAAAGTTTCCTCACATCTCTGGGGAAACTTTCCTCTCCTACGAATTTGAGTGTTCCCTTCTCTAGAGCCTTAGCACCAAAATCAGATCTTTGCTTTGGGGAAATTTTGCTTTTTAACATTTATATCACCTACATTTTAGCTTCAAAAAAGTGAAATAATACCTTGTTATGCATAGGTAAGTTGGTATGTATGTTAAAATTGAAGTTTGGGTGTTAAATATGTAAATACATAGGAATTAAGTGGTATGTATGTAAATCTTCCTTTTTTAACACCTGCTTAGTGTCGTTTTATACATAACTTCTGGCCACAGTGTTATAAGGCATCAAAGACAGAATATGATGGAATAGAAGAAATCAAGCCTTTTCTAATTCTGCAGAATAGACAATAAAAAAGAATACCAAAAAACACTAACAATGCATTAATTGTTAAATTCAAATTCAAATTTCATCATATCAAATGAAAGAGTAAGTATTTTCATTTACAAAATGAAATATTAAATTCAAATTTTCATCATTTCAAGCACTTGATCTCAAATAAGAGACACATATAAACAGTTTGTTCAGAACAAAAATAAGAACATTACATTTGAGGAGAAAATATTGCGTCCCGCGGAGGTCTGAGCTCCCGCTCCGCTGCGCTGTATCATGTCCATTGTCCGGACAAAGCTCTGCTTCCGGGACTCCGGACGCAATATTTTTTCACATTTGAGCTCTTCTTACTTATTTTTCATTGTTAAATCTGCTTCTAAGTATTTCAACACCCAAATAATCAATGGGGCCGTGAAGTAAAAGATCAGGTTTACCAACCTTCACTCTTACAGCATGTATCTGAGGGTATTTAAGCAGGGTTGTGTTGGCCATCAGGTGAGCCACTGACTCCAGTAGATTCTGACTTGGACCCTCCATGATCTCCTTGGCTATTCTGCGGCTCAGAAACGCAAATGTTATGGCTGTGTGAAACTTTTGCTAGTTTTACTTACAAATTCTTTTATTTAATTCACTAATGTAAATGCAAAATTCAGTTTCACTAACATTTGTTAAACAAGATGCAACTAATTGGTATGAATGACAGACTTTGGGTTTTTGATAGTCTTGCTAAAATTTAGAGATTTCATATTGGATCTCTAGAACTGTGGTAATTGTGGGGAATCAAATTTATGGGTCATTCAATGATGTTCTCAGAAAGAACAATGGAGAAAAAAGGATTATTTCTGTACTACACAAGAAGAAAATAATATAGAACAAAGAAAAAAAAAATCATATTATTTTGTTTGACCATTAAAAGACAAATGATTGAATTGGGGCACAATAAGGAAACAAAGTTTGTGAAAATATATGTTGAGACCATTAGAAATAAGTGCAAGAAACTAATACTAGTAGTTATGGATTTGAACAAAAAGATTCCCAAATATAATATGATTATATCGAAAACCAATATTTAGTAAATATCATTTTCATTGGTTAAGGAGATGCTTAAAAGGAACATTAAAATGAGATATGATGTATGTTATTTGAATATAATTGTTTTAACAAGTGAAATAATTGTTTAAAAAGGATAAAATTTGTAATGGCTGATAAAAAAGTTCTAATAGTACAGGTTGTTAATTGACCAAAAAGATTCTCATCCACAACAAGATTTAATTAAGAATTAATAGGCCTCCAAAGAATCTCCATCTCGAGAGTATATTTTGAGCAAAAAATATTCAAATTTAGATTAAGGCTCATCCAGAGCTCTTATTTCAGCAAACTTAAAGTCAAACTAACCGGCTCAACGAGACGGATTTAATGATACCTAAATTGGTCCAATCTGAATCAATTCCAGCTCAGATCAAGTCCTTAAACCATGTTTGAAAATTTTCCAAAAATATTTGAAAGATCAAATAGATACTGAATCCAACGAGTTTGTAGTCAAAATTAAGTGTATCGACAAAACAAATCCAACGAGTCTAAGATCGTGCAATTCAGACATCATTAAGGCACGCAAAAGACCATCAAATGATGTTTGATTGAGAGAATCTCTTCGGACAGTCCAATCATGAATAGGGAAGAGATCTTGAGAATTGAAGAAGGGCCTGAAGCTTTGAAAATGAGCTCAAAGTCTAGCATCACTCATGTCACCGTGGACCACCGATGATCGTTGTTGACCACCGTCGATCGCCATCAACCATCTCCGATCCCCGTCGCCGATCACTATCGATCGGCGTCCGTTTCTTGCAACAAGTTCATTTACACGTCAACATAATTCGAAAGACTTTGTAACTCTTTTCCAAGTGTGGGACAAAGGGTCTCTGTAATCAACTTATAGTGAATTTTTACAACTGGGTCGGATCTCGTGATTTTTTCACTTTACGGGTTTTCCACGTAAAAAACTTTTGGTGTCTCTATTGATTGTTTTCTTTTATCTGAGTGTGCGTTGAATCTTCGTGTAATGTTAAGACAATAACTCATTACTGTATCTCCACGCATCTTCTAGCACGCATCAAGAATCAATATTAAATTCATATTTTTTGTAGATGGTTAAAAAGGATTTATAAAAAGTTGGGGCGTCATAGCGCATGCTATTTACATATGATATAGTTCTAATAAGTCAAATATTCAGCAAAATAAATGAAAAACATTGAAATAAATGATGAGGATTAATAGAGCAAAGAATGATTACATGATATGCAGTATTAAGGGGTGTGAAAATGCTAATTATTAATCAATAATAATCAATCAATATTGATAGAAGATCAAGTGCAAGCGATTCAAATAGAATACGATGAGAATACAACTTTTGAAGTTAAAATTAAGTGATAAAAAAAGAGGCGCTCCTCGGCAAAATACGGTAAGTTAATATCACGACGACTTAAGAAATATGGAAGATTTACATGCATGTCACTCAATTCGTCTGCATTTACTTATCTAACACCTAAACTTCAATTTTTACATATATGTCATCTCACCTATGCATGAAAAGGTGTATTTCACTTTTAAAAGTTAAAATAGTGATATTGTACATGTTATATGAAAGTCTTGGGTGGTAGAAATATAATAATCAAAGTTTAGGTGTTAGATATGCAAATAAACAAGAATTGGGCGGTATGTATGTGAATACCAAACACATATAAAACACTGCAACAACCAGACTATGTTGCATGAATTCGAGAGTTGAGTGACAAAGGCGTCACCAAAACAAAAGCTTAGTGTGAGAACAAAAGAGAATTTTAAGATAAAAGTGAATCAAATTATGAATAATAGATAAAGAAATGATATTGAAGAGCAGCACCTATTGAAAATAAATTGGAGCAAAAAAAAGTAGATGATTAGGCATCTATTTAAAAATAAGCTTAAATAGTTTGAATATTCATAATGAACGATAGAAAACACACCCATCGAATGAGTAGATAAAATTAATGTCCAATAACTATGGAAGAAAATGAGAGGACCAAGATAGAAATTAAAGGAAACAATTGTGAACAATAAATTTAGCTTTTCAAGCAACACTCAAAATGATGAATGGAAAATGAGATTTCATAAATCAAATAGACAGGGTACTACTTACCAATTGGATATAATAAGTAATTAAAAGATTATTAGAAGACATGATTGCAGCATTGTCAGGTAATACAATAGCTTAAGTGTATTGATACTTAGGACTGTTAAAAACCCAAACAAACCAACATGTTATTCATCTTTCGTGCTAGACTATTTCAACAAAAATATTTATGTCTCACGTTCAACATTAAAGTAATAATATCATTAAAAAAATGGGAAGATATACATACATAACACTCAATTCTTATGTATTTACATATCTAACACCTGAACTTCAATTTTTACATATATGACACCTTACCTATACATGAAATGGTGCATTTCACTTTTTAGAAGTTAAAATAGTGGTACTTTGATTTGATATGAAAGATTTGGGAGTTATAATTGTAAAAAGGAAAAATTCAGGTGTTAGATATGTAAATATATAAAAATTGGATGGTATGTAGGTAAATGCCCCTAAAAAAAGTTATGAACATTACCTGTAAATGTCAGTGTAGCTTACAGTATTTATTATATCATCAGTTTCACCAGCAATTCTTAAATCTAACCAGGCATCAATATCTACCAAGAACTTTTGACCTTGCTCCTTTTCCTCAGGATGCACTCCATGAAATCCATAAAATTGCAAACCCCGTAAAATAAGTTTATCTTGATATTTTAAATTGCAGTCATCCATATATATACCTGTAGCAACATATCATTGTAAATGAATATCAAATCAGCATGCAAAGGCCTTTTTATACTTTTAACATCCATCCAACGATAGCAAAGAGAATATATAAGAATTTTTCATTCAAGGACATCATGGATGGTTTGGTATTTCAAAATGAACTTAAAATGTGTTTGCGTAAACTATCTCTCTCTTTTCCGCCTCTATATCCTTTCAAAAATATGAAAATTTAAGTTTATTTTTAATATTAAAAATATTGTGCAAATATTTTAAAAATTCTATAGTCACAATTTGACCTATAAGAATTCAATTTTAACTAAAACTAGACATATATTTCAAAAATAATTAATGAATTTGTGTTTTCTTTACTGAATACAGAATAAAATTATATAATAAACAATTATGAAGAATTGGTAATTTCCCAACATGCATCTGCAATTTTTTTTTTTTGGTTAAAAGTTGACGTCCTATGTTTGACTGCTTATCAAAGTAAGACATCAGCCTATAAAATTGATTCTCCCTCTCTGTCTTTCTCTAAATTTTTAATAGGTTCAAGGCTTTTCACCATTTGTAAGTTCTCAGGTTTATCTGCATCTTTTCTAACTAGGAATTGAGTAACTTTGCGTAAGATGCATCTGCAATTTTTTTTTTGGGTTAAAAGTTGACGTCCTATGTTTGACTGCTTATCAAAGTAAGACATCAGCCTATAAAATTGATTCTCCCTCTCTGTCTCTCTCTAAATTTTTAATAGGTTCAAGGCTTTTCACCATTTGTAAGTTCTCAGGTTTATCTGCATCTTTTCTAACTAGGAATTGAGTAACTTTGCGTAAGATGTATATCTCAGAAAATTTTGATTTTGCATCAAAATAAGAATTTGGATTACAGTTCCTCTTCATCAATAGCCTCGCAAAACTTTGGTATTTTAATCATTTTTCTCTGCATATTTGTTGTAACTTCAGTTTAGACGGGTTTTTATTTTATTCTTGATGCGTGCTAGATGATATGTTGATTAATAGAATCCTTATGGTTAAAAAAGATTCATATTTTTTGGAGATGGTTAAAAAGGATTTTTGAAAAGTTGAGGAGTCTTAGTGTATGCTATTTACATGTGATATAGTTCTACTAAGTCAAATATTCATTGAAATAAATGATGAGGATTAATAGAGCAAAGAATGATTACATGATATGCAGTATTAAGGGGTGTGAAAATGCTAATTATTAATCAATATTGATAGAAGATCAAGTGCAAGCGATTCAAATATCTTGGAACCATCACAAGAATAAGATAAGAATACTACTTTTGAAGTTAAAATTAAGTGATAAAAAAAGAGACACTCCTAAATATACGATTAGTTAATATCACGGCGACTTAAAAAAATATGGAAGATTTACATGCACATCACTCAATTCTTCTTTATTTACTTAGCTAACACCAAAACTTCAATTTTTACATATGTTTCATCTCACCTATGCATTTTATTTAAAACTTTATACAAGGTTTCACTTTTAAAAGTTAAAATAGTGATAT